ATTCTGCACGTCATTTGCAAATGTACAGTTGTAATATAATGTAACAGACATTCAAACACACGAGGGACTTCTCCTCTTTTAAATACTGCAATTAAGGACCACTGCCTCGAGAAAGATGGAAAGAGAAAGAGAATGTGAGAGAGGGAGAGATTGTCCTGATGAGTGCTCTAGCGAAACTGTGTGCCAGTCATTAGCAAAGCATTCTCCCAGTGGGTTTTTATCGATTTACCATGACTAATGGATGGTGGGGGGAGAAATCACTTTAAATTAAAATTAGGATTGGTAATAGGCCTACATGCAAATTCAAATAATGCTTTGCACGCAGTGAAGATGAAATCTTTTCCTTGTACTTGTTCGGCCAATTGTCTGCTGTTTTCCTCATACAGCCTAAAAGCAGCTCAGACACACAGCTGATCGCTCCATATAGACATACACATTTTGCTGGAAATGTCCTGTCTGTCTAAAGGGTCATTCCACCTCTGGAAAGATGAATGTGTATTTAAAATGGGTAATTTATGCAGAAGAAAAGTGAAATTATTTTTTGAATTTGGAGCTGTCTAGACTGAGAAAAGCCAGAAAATGTATTTTTGGCTTATGTGAAGACAACAACTCCCAGAATGCACTTGCTTCGCTGCCCTAGGAGGCCACGCCTACCGGTAACAGCGCAGTAGTTAAACAACAAGTGAAGGCTACTAGGGAGTCTCCGTGATGAGTCTGCCCGAAATTGTGTTTCGAGATCGCCCAAAAGGTCCGGGATTCGGCTTTTGCGTTCTACAGTCGCCATTCATCATGTTTACTGTGGCGAGCACGATGAGTGAGGGCCGTGTGGAGCACGACGCGAGGCCGATGGCGTAATTACCGATTAGCGACACCTGTGAGACGCACCGGTCTCGTATCTCTCACAGAGGAGCGGGAATTTTCTTAGCAATGTTAAAACGCACATCAACCGATCACTTGTTTGGCGTTCATGTAAACATTCAGATTCACCAATCAGAATGAATTCATTTAGATTGAAACAAAAGCACATGTAAACATTGAATGGCGACTGCAGAAAGCAAAAGCTGAATCTGACATTCAAATAGTATAACTGAAATTTCAATAGTATAACTGGGTTTCTAACAATAGAAAGCTTAATGCAAATGGATGGAGTGTCCCTTTAAAAAAAAAAGTAGATCCATTTCATTAAATCGTCACTGAGGAATCTCTCATCACTCCTAAGGACCTGCAGTTAGTCATTTTCTGAGGCCGAAGCTGTCTGTCGTATCTCAAGCAAGGGTGGGGTTTATTGTGGAGGGGACTATGGAATCATGTGCTGATGAGTTTTCATTTGTCACTTCAGTTTAAATATGGATTCTCTGACAAGTGTTATTTCTCATGGAGCCGTAGTCTCAAGGGGCATATATATCTCTTTTGAAATACTATCAATCTGCTGGAGAGAAGAAAAAGAAACGCTACAAAAAACAAAGATACAAACAAATCATATTTTCTTTCAGTCCAAAATATTCAATGTGGTGAAGCCTAACCTCTTTGAATTAATCACAAAAGATTGGGAGCAGCATGCAAATGAGAAAATTAATTATGCAAAACACATGGTAAGCAAGTCTCTCCCTCAACGAAGATGGCAGGGCTTATTTAAATATTTGAAAAAAAAAGAGAAAGATTTTTGCCCAGAGTCTTTGTGCTATGAGAAAAGCTACATGTTGTATGTTGTAGAAGAAACAACATTTACTTAGTTCTCTAAAAACCCCTTTGGCTATTGAATCAGTAGCTACAAATTCTCTTTGCACCAAGAATGGTTCAAAGGACAGAGCAGGTCATCAGTTTCATCCACTTCCACTTGTGTCGCTTTATTAAAGTGGTAGATAACTGCTCTGTATATCTGTTCTCTGCTGAGTAAATAATATGTTATACAGGCTCATTATAAGCAGATTAGATCTATTAGTTACCGCTGCGCTGCTCTCAAATCAGCTGCCCATAGGAGAGCAGAAAATCATTTTAAACTTCAATAAGTTACAAGCAGTGGCAAGCCTCTCCATAATCCACACTGCCCCAGGCAGCAATAAGACTCGATGCAATTATGCAGACAAAATTCAACACAAACAAAAGAAATGGAAATTAGCCTTAAATAAAACAAAAAAGGGGAGAGAGGAGTAGAGAAAACAAGTTGGTCTCTTGCTGTCTCCCTTTCGCTTTTTCTTTCATTCTGACATTTCACATTGTGCGAATCAAAGCATTGTGTAAAGATCTCGCGGCACAAACATGTGGGATTGTTAAGGTAAATTAGCCTTCTCGCTGAGAAGCTATACGTGGTTTATTAATGTGGTGCATGCAAGCAACAAACGTCAGTTCTTATAAAAACTTTGTGAACTTAAAACATAAATGCGAATTGTGCATGTGAATGTAAACTCAGTGATATATCAACTTTAAAAGTTGTCACATTATTAAGAAGTCTTCTACTTCACATACCTTTGGGAAATTGACTAAGATTGCGCTAATTGTTTGCATTTTGTTATGCATAACTTATGACTATTTGTACTGCTTGAGGGACTAAATGGCAAATTTGTTCTAAGTAGGCTATTCATGTTTGTCTGAAGTATACTATTAAAAATGCTGATTTTCCACAGGAGGGCACAAGCCAATATCTTTTGCTCAGATAATATAAACGCTATTAAATTACCCCACATTTGATTATGTTTTATAACGAACTAATTTGGCACAATTCAAATAGATACACCCAAAAATAACTAGTAGTAATACTACTAATAATAAATGCTTTCTGCTTCTATTGGTGAAAAGAAAAAAAGAGTGTAAGTTACATAATAAGCCTGAGAAAAACATCTTTAAATAAAGCCTACATTTAAAGGGACTCTGTGTAGGAAATACCCCCATCTAGTGGTTAAATATTATTTTGCATTCAAACGAATTTTGCTCTCCAGCGCCTCGCATTTTCAAGTGCGTATTGCATCTACGGTTGCCGTTATGTACCAAAAATGCTATGACAGGATGTCTTGTAGTATCACTTCATCGAGTTTTTCTCCGGGTGAACAGGTTTGTAACTTAAAAAAAAAAACAGCAACTTATGTGTTAACTTATGTGTACAATTTATGTGTCTAGCTGTATAAATTAATTTTAATTCTCTGTACAATCTTATCCACATAGCAAAATCACAATTTTAGCTAATTGATCATTTATATATAAAAAGAAAGCTATAGAAAATCTTACAGAGAGCAATATTTTCTTACAATCATTATCTCTATATTCTTACTGAATTTATAGGTTATAAAGAATTAACTTACAAACCTTGTTTTTAGCACCTTCCTTCACAATAGCTGCGAGTAAAGTAGTCAATAGCTGCTATTCATCAAAGACCTTGTTTAACTTTTTTACCTATAAATGTTATACTGTCTATATAATAAAGTACACAACCAAGCAATGACAAAAAAATTAAGTCAGACTGTAACATTGACTAACCTGTCGAGGAGAAAGCAGGCAACTTCAGCGTCTCTTCTGAAATCTTTCTGCTGCATTAGCTATTTCCACGGTAGAAAACGCTATCCCGATATTTAAGGCCATTGCACACTGAGTACGAAATTTTCGTATGCGTATTTTCCTGTACGTCAGCCTAAAAATTCGTCACGCATAGAAACCTTGCACACCGAGTCCGTTGCGTATTTATTAAACCTTTGCGGGAAAAAACGCAAAAATACCAAATGGATTCGTCAAGCAGTGAGGATGATTTTTGCCCTCTCTCATGTTGAAAAGAGAAGAAATAGAAAATATCCATCCAATCCTGAAATTGCGCCGAGAGGATTTATCCTGAGCGATTCAAAATTTACCTCAGAATGTCAGCGGGACAGTTTGATGCTTTGCTAGCGATTCTGGAGCCACATATTAAAAACAAGACCACCAATTTCCGTGAACCATCGATTCTGAACGGAGACTGGCAGTGTGTCTGGTATGGACCAGGTATGGACACACACAAACACCCGCGCGCGGCCCTGTGGAAGCGCTGGGCAGACAGAACAGCTAGGCTGTTATTGTGTATGTATTGTGTATATTGTGCCCAAATAATACATTAGTTATCGAATAGGCTGCTCAATCACACCTTATTCGATCCTAAATTTCAATCTGATTGAAAGGGGAGGTTTATTAATTTCATAATCCAATAGCTATAGAGAAGAGAACATAAACACTTGATCGAATTGAAAACCGAAACTGAAAGCACGGCGCATAAGTTCAATGATTTGAGGACGAGCTCCCCCGGCCCTGAATTGTCAAAAGACCTCTCAAAATGCTGGCTCTGGATGCGAAAAACGCAGAAAATCGAACCATATCCGATTAATTTTATGACGGAAAAATTAATGGCCGTGTTTTTTGCAATCTCCGGTCACGTTTCCTTTTTCGTTCAAGTCTGGCCTTTTTTTGCGATGAGGATGCATTCTCCTGTGACTCGGCATATGGTCCGCAACAAATAATAGAGCAAAAGAGCAATCAGCAATCACAGGAGTGCAATGCAGCCGTTTAAACTTGCAGGGAATGCGCCTCTCAATGTGACGTGACGATGGCTCTGAGTCTGAACGAAAACGCGTTGTGGAAACGCGTTTGGCTTGTGGTACTTTTTGACCCTCTCTGCTATTATAGTTTTCAAGATGGCGGAACGGACATGGAAGCCTCCGTGAACCTACCCGTCCCATGTACATAAAGATAATAAATTCTTCATTTACGAGGATAAGTCAGATAATTTGCAGAGGTATTTGTACACCATTGAGGACATATTTATGAATAAAAATATTGATTTCAGATAATAAAATACCTAAAAATCTACACAGAGTCCCTTTAAAAAAAAAAAAACGAGTACATACTCATTCTATGTATAGCCTAAAGTGTCTATGTTATGTGTGAGTGTGTGTGCTCAGTCCTTCCAATGTATTTGACAGGTTGTGTTTGAAGGTTTGCTATGTTGGTCCGCCCACCTAATGACGTATGGCCGTTTATATGAAGGAATCACCTCGTGATTGGCTGAATCACGCATCCGTTTGAAATACACAAAGCTGAACCAGGAACTACAGAGAGGATTCTTCCCGTCTTTAAATTGGTAAGTATGTTTCCTCAGACATAATGCTGTGGTTTTACACTGCTAAGAAATTTGCCTTGCGTTAGATATGTGTTACCAACCAGGGAAACTAAAAAGGATATTTTTTAGCGATCTTTCGCGCTTTACGTTTCCCCAAAGAATCCAAACATTCGTGTTTGCTTTAGCGCCCGCCCCATCACAGTTTGTGATTGGTCAAACCTCTCTGTTTCTGTGTTGTGATTGGATATTTCCTCAGACTGTCTTAGCTCAGGTCAGAGTGCAGGGATGATACGCAGGATGAAAACTGGAAAAAATGTAGATCTGATGCAATTGCCATACGTGGCATTCAGATGAGTCCTGAGTCCACTCTCTCTAAATATATGTTTTGTTCTAATACTGATTGGTTGCATTGCATTTGTGCCAATATGTCTATTTTATGCCACATTGACATTTGCATCAGTGAAATTAACTCACATTCCATGTAATACTATTCAGTTATATTTAAATTATATATAAGACGAATTTAGTTCAGGTTATGATTCAGCTCTTAGCTGCACTCACGGTAACCTTTTGCATTGAACTAGTTACTAAAATGCGTAATGATGTCTTTTATTTAATTTATTTTTTTAAAGAAATGCCCCTAGGTGCTTAATTTAATCTTAAATCTCTTTCAAACCAAAACCTTTGTAGTTTAGCTTCTGAAAAAGCATAGGCTACTGGTCTCAATTTGAGTCTTCAAAGCGCCGGTACACATAGCTCTTGGCGATCCCTCTATTTGTGGATCGACCACAGCTCACCCAACATTCTATGTTGTCTGCAATTTGGAGAAAGTTATCTTTGGGATTTGCAAGCTTTGTGTCATACATTTTTTCTAAATATTCTGTAAGCATGCCATTAATAGTGTTGTGTGTCTGTATCAAAGTCTTGATTTGTTCAAATTGCACACTGTGTGACCCGACAACTTCCTGATCGCTGCTTTGAATCATCCCCGTTTTACAAAGCCTAAGGCTATAGGGAGAATTAAGAATGTTCTAGAAGATTGGTATGTTTGCCACTTAACAGCCCATGTCAACTTCCTTTAGTGGTTACATTCATTACAAAGGAAGTGTTTGGTCATTTTAGGATTGTAGGTCATGCCCCTGGGCTTGACTCAAACCATGTTGTGTAAACACAGTAATGGTCCTCTTCCTCTGGCATCTTTAGAAAAGTAATCCATTCCTGTTTCTCCCACTTTGTTGTTGCATGTGGAGCCATTTCAATTACATCAACTTAAAGTAAAGATTAAAGACATCAAACGTAGGATGCTGAGTCGACCCTTGAACTCGTTTTAAAGGTTTCAGCTCACACAGTCATGCCTCAAGAGAGGATGAAAACAGCCTCATAATTCTCTTCCTTCATGCACCTTTGCACTTCCTCCAGCTCTTCTCTGTTTTCCATGCTAATCAGTCTGGGCTCTTAGCACAGAGACTGCACACCTTTCCTCAGGAGATCTCCGGCTTATGAGCCAAAATGGATCAGGTCGAAGGTCTACAGCTCGATTTCTCTGGGAGAGGATAGGTCAGGGAGGTTTAAACATCATCAGAAACAAAGACCTGCCCTTTGGCTCATGCACCCTTTTTTCTCAGTCTTTAACAGAAGAAGCTGTATTGATTGCAAATAGTATTGTGAGAGGCGTAGAATTTTGATAAAGCGCTCCCTGACCACCTCACAATAAAAACAGCTTATGAGACTGCAAGTATGGCAAATGCTTTAATGCACTTAACCCATTACCAATTTCAAAATTCCTTGTCTTCCAAACTAACCATTATAACATGCATCACAAGATAAGGTGCCTTTCTTTTCTCCTCCGGTCTTTTTCATTTCAGTTGCTATGGAAATCAATCTGAGATCTCTATCGGGAAAGTCAGAGAAGTGTAAAATGAGATGGAGTGTATGCTCCTTTAATATAAATGGACAATCTTTACAGTTATACTCACTTTAACACTGCATTGAATTATCCGACACATTCAAATACTAGTACATAATGATTTTGGTTTTATTTTTAAATTGTTGTAAATCAGCCAATGACATGACTTCAGTCTTCCAGATCTTTTCATTTATTTGAAAATACGTAAATTCATGCAGTAATTTAAATGTACTTCTTTTAATTTATATATGACAATGCAAGAGTTCAGGCTGTAAAATGGCATCATGGTGCAAAAAAATAACAATCAATGATATTCATATAAAAAGCCTTGAAAAATTAGATTTAAAATTATATTGGAAAGGATTCTTATACATTATTTTACTTGATGGTTATTGGTTACACTACATGGCATTTCTATCATTACTGAGTCTTAAAAAAGAATCTTTATACTTAAATAATAATAATATGAAACTATCTTTAATAACAAACAGTATTTTCCTGAGATCTTTAAAAATATTTAATTGACCCAAAGATTTAATCATGTTTTATCTGTATGTAACACAAATCATTCTCTAGCCACAACTGATTCAACATATCAGAGAAATTCAGAGCTAAGGGTGACTTGCAGGCATGGAAAGACTTTCAAATAGACTATGTCTCGGATCGACCTTCGCATGATTGAATTCCTTGAAGTCCCTTGCCACCTCTAGGGCTGTGCCTCACATCAAATTCCTCTTTCTAACTTCAAGATGCTTTCCGTCTTACACAATCACCCATGACTTTTTGTGGCAATTTAGGATGTGATTTTGAACTCTGTGAAAGTGTAAGTGCAAGGCTGTAGTTCGCAACTGGTGGGTCACAACCTGAAAAAAGGGAGAACAGCAGGGGGAAAATCTGCTGAATGTCAAAGGTTTACTGGCATGCTCTTATCCTCAAATCTGTGTGAAAAAAATGTTACAAAATCATTTACAAAATTGTACGTTTTCATAGGCAGCTTAGCATGATGTGTCATTATGAAAAATTGTGCATATTTTATAATGCAGTTTGTGGTAATATTAATAATAATCAAGGACTTTTCTTCCTGTACAATGAACCATTTTTATAGTGTTGCATTGCTGTTTAATGTCAAATTTCAATCTTATAGAAGACCTTTTCTTGATATTTTACATTAAACGACAATCTTTTTTTTTCTGTATAGGACGTTAAAGGATTTTGTCAGACGCTTCATATAGGCTACACTCACCTAAAGGATTATTAGGAAAACCATTCTAACCCTTTCGCCTTCAGAACTGCCTTAATTCTACGTGGCACTTAATTCTATAACATTTGATAAAGCGTTGCATTGTTTAAAACAATTCTTTAGAAATGTTGGCGCCAGTTGATAACCATGTCACGCTCAAAATGGCTTAAATCACCTTTCTTTCCCATTCTGACATTCAGTTTAGAGTTCAGGAGATTGTCTTGACCAGGACCACACCCCTAAATTCATAAACCAACTGCCATGTGATTGGTTGATTAGATAACAGAATTAATGAAAAATTTCACAGTTTTTTTTTTTCATTTAGGTGAATGTATAAAACCTTATAGAGAATCCCATGGGATCATTTTATTTATTGTGACTAAGCAGTTCAACAGCTTATAAACATACTGAAGCACTAGAAAAATGTACTTGTTAGCCTAATAATAAAAGTATTATGAAATCATTAAGACATTTATCCTAATATAGAACCTTTTTGCCATTAAAGATTCTTTAAATTTGAGTCAGAACCTTAGTGTTTAGAACAACTGTCCTTGCTGATTTATTGCTTATCCATTCTGTCATATCCATGTAAAGCAAAAGTACTGTCCTTTGGAATTTTTAGTCATAAATAACCATAGCAAATCTTTTCTTGAGGACTGCAGTAGCATTTTATATTTGATTTCTGTAAGCAAACAGACAGAGCTCTCACTGTTCACTGCTTTTACTTACTCTTTCCTCATACTCTGTGTATTTTTAATGCTGTTTCTCTCTCAGGTGAATGAAGGATGGGGAAAAAGGATGCAAGTTCTGTCAAGCAGCCGGTCGACCAGTACCGTAAACAGATCGGTGAGAACCTCTCTTCTTTATGTAGTCTTTATTTTTTAATATGGATATAACCTTCATCAAATATTCATCCAGTGTTTTATTAAAGAGAGTCTGAAATGCGTTTTCTCCTTCATTTCAGCCACTCTGATTATATTGCTTATGAATTTTTTGCACACACTTGATGATCAGAATGTTCAGCTGGGAACAGGACAGTTTGACTTAAGAAAACAAAAAAATGGGGTTTGTTTAATAACATAGACAGTCGGTATGGATGCTAGGGGCTGTATGAGGCGCTGTAAACACCTAGCAAAGCTGTATAAATGTCATTTCCACAAAAGCAAATCCAATTTAGCTGCTAAAATAACAGTTTAAGGCACTGTGAGTTTACACATTGGTTGTGCATGTAAACACACTCACTGATGGAGCAACATCATTGGGTAAATGAAATGGTAGTTTATTCTGATTAAAAATCATGCGCTATTAAACACCAAGTGAGTTTTCGTTGTGCGTTTCGCTACATTTGGTGTTTCCACAGAGAACATTAGCCTCTTTTACCTTAAATACAGGGCTGCCACCTCACACAATTGACACTTTTCACACGCGCTCACGCCACACTCCATTTTTCTATATGCAAGGCTTTATAAATGCTTCATTCATTCATAAAACATTTTTCTAGTCAACTAACATGCTATTTATGGCCATTAAATGTCTTTTCTGAGGTAAATGTAATGTATGTGACATTGTTCTCCAGCTGTTTTATGAATGAATGAAACATTTGTAAAGGCTTGCATGGCCCTCTGTACATAAATAGCATGTTAGTTGGCTAGAATAATTAGCTATAGAGAGGAGTATTTTCCTAAATATGTGCACTCTAGGCCTATTACATGTTTGTGTTTTACGCATTTAATTAAAATTATTATTATAATGTTGTTGTTATTATAATAAAACCCACAGTATATTTAATTGAATAGTAACTCGTGGCCTCAAGGTAGAGTTACTATCTTGAGGCCACAAGATAGTATCTTGAGGCCATGGGTTAATATCTTGAGGCCATGGGTTAATATCTTGAGGCCACAAGATAGTTATAGTTATTATTTTTTTTGCCAAAGTGGCACTAGAAAGGGGCACTTGAAATGGCTGGATTTCGCCCTTAGAATTTCGCCAAACAACCATAAATGTGACCTGACCTTTTAGACTTTTACTCGGAGTAGCTTTAGTTCAGCTGTATCGTCCATTGTACATCTGGAAGTTCTTCATTTTTATTGTAGGGATGAGATGCGGAGACTTATTTTTGTTGTGGCACTGAAATTATACATTTTTTTCATTGGCACATCACTGATCTAATTTACAGTACAACCCAGTGCACACCAACCTCATCTCCCCACTGAAAGAACCTGTCTCATACGCATGATATTATGTGAGTTCATATCGCACCCTTTAGTAGCACTATTAAGTCACCTTCCCTTATTGTCCCTGTGCTGCATGACTGTGCTGGCAACATAACAAGCTGAACTCCTGCGAATCTCAGACATATCCCATTTTGTTTTCTTTCTTTTGCATCTCATCAATTCTAAGTCGTAACAGCAGGTTGTGGACAATTGAGCCCCCCACCCACCAGTCCTCCCACTCTTTCCATCAGTTTGTCTAAGAAGTCTATATCAGCCTATTTCAGAGAATCGCTGTTTAACAAAACAAAAAAAAAGCCCAAAATAGCACAAAGCAACACAAAGGGAGAATACAGATCGTAATTTGAGATTGTAATGGGAAGGTAATTTCTATCTTGACAGGTCTTGCTTTTTTTCTTCTTCGTTTTTTTTTTTTTTTAAAGGAAGAAAGCTTTTGTGATGTCAAGTACCTCGTAGGGCCGCTGTAGACACATTGACTTTAAATACTGTTATTAAGCTGCATAATGGACTCCAGAGAGCTGTCAACCACCAAAAGGGTTCCTCAGGTCTGCGTGGTCATCCCCCTCTTGAGTCAAGATCATTCACACAATCCTTTCTGCCTTTGTCCAACAATTATTCGCATGACCAAACACTCAAACTCATCCCTGCCTATTAACTCTCTCTGTTTGTGATCGTTTTAGTTTGAATGTGCACTGATCTGTATATGCCATGGTCTTGATATCGGTGAAGGCTGAATGGATCTAGCTTCTAGCATGTTACAGATCTTCTCAGTTTTCTGTGTGTTCTGACACTGGCCATCATGATTATGTCACTTTTTGCTGTTTGTTCAACACTTGCCACATCCTTACACTCGCTCCCGGTGTGAAGGCAACAACCGTGGTAAAGTGCATCTCCGTTTTGTGTGGAATGAGTAATTTTATTTTCAAAGACAAAGTTCTTTATTGTCGAATGTGAAGAAGTTCATAGCGATGCAGAGTTTTGTTGTAAGCCAAATAAGCCAAAAAATGTCTGATTTGTTGGTCAGACCCTTATACAATTTCTCCATCAAGTGATTTATCTGTTTGTTGGCCAAATTGGGCAATGGGTTTATCAGAGCTTTCTTGCAATTTTATAACGGGAATAACTGCAGAATGCTTTTCTCCACGCTCCACAGAGAGTGAGATAAATCGGCTGCAGCGCTTTTGAAAGGCACCCTTGGCCCCGTGGGTTGATTCTTGTCACGTCCTTGTCAACATCTGACAGCACAGTGTGTACAGAGGGGTCATACCGCTCAAGTCCACAGGAAACAGTGACACATTATGAGAGAGCCTCCACTCCGCTTTTGGAAAACAAGTCGGGGAAGGTTTCGCTCTGCAGCGATTCAGTTGAATGGTGATTAATGAGTGAAGGTGCGTTCAACGCCCGCCTCTGTATCGAGGGCCAATTTGAGCTCAACAGCGGTGAGACGGCAGAGCCAAGGAGGCAAGCGAGTCGTCATAATCATCGAGTCCTCACGCAGAGAGAAACGCCTCATTGAACTCGATAGCGTGTGATTCAGCGTACTGGCAGGGCCACAAAGTCTCGCTATATAAACAATTTATTTCAAACTCTGATATGATTACAATTAACTATTCATTTGGAACAGATGGCTGAGGCTGTTTGTTGTGGGTATTTACACCACAACAGGAAGTTTCAAGAAAAATAAGACACACACCTAATCTGTCCCAGTTGGCTTGGAACAAAACGAGTTTTGCTTTCCACACCGTGTAAAATCTCTTCAGGTGCAAGCGTAAAATACTGTAGACTCTGAGAGAAGTAGAGACAGACAGTTGTCATATGTTGGAGGAGTGTTTTGAAGCTGACATAATTCCTTTTTTTGCTATGCATGCTGAGGCAGGTTGAAATTGAAAATGCTTTCTTCTTTTTTTCTGAAAACCCATAAGCTAGGATTCATACTTTTATTAATTTAATATATATAAATATATACTGTGTATATATACACTGTAAAAAAATATTGATGGTTTAACTTAAAAAAGTAAGTAACCTGGGTTGCCTTAAAATTTTAAGTTCATAGAACTGGAAAAAGTGAGTTAATACAATGAAGGAGATTAATTTAACCATCAGAAACTCAAAATGATATGTTATCTGAACTAAATAAATTATTTAAGTTGATTTGACAAAAGAAAAAATGTTGTGATTACTACACTGTAAAAAAATATTGTTGGTTTAACTTAAAAAAGTAAGTAACCTGGGTTGTCTTAAAATTTTAAGTTGATTGAACTGGAAAAAATAGAGTTAATACAACGAAGAAGATTAACTTAACCATCAGAAACTCAAAATAATAAGTTATCTCAACTAAATAAATTATTATAAAGTTGATTTGACAAAAGAAAATATGTTGTGATAACAAATCTTGAAAATATGTTTTACAGTGTATATATATATATATATATATACATATATTAAATGTATATTACATTTATTTATTTTATATATGTGTTATAATCAAAATTAAAAATACCTAACAACTGTATTCACAAGTAAAGTATCCTCTTTAATGTAGTCTGTTATATGTGCTAAACTTCTATTCTCAAACGAATGTGAGAAATGTGCATCTTAACAATTGGACATTATTTGAAATAAAGATAAAGATAAGTTTTTTTATTGTAGATTAATAATAATATTTATTTGTCATAAAGCAGAATTAAAGGAATAGAAAAAAAACCCAACTTTTTTATATTGATCATTTAAAGCCAATTTCGGTACACTGTAAAAAAAATATTGTTGGTTAAACTTAAAAAATTAAGGAACCTGGTTGCCTTAAAATTTTAAGTTGATTGAAATAGATAAAGTGAGTTAATACAATGAAGGAGATTGATTTAATTATCAGAAACTCAAAATAATAAGTTATCTGAACTAAATAAATTATTTAAGTTGATTTGACAAAAGAAAAAAAAATGTTGTGATAACAAATCTTGAAAATATATTTTTTACAGTGTAGATTTACTTTGGAGGTTTCCAGTGATAACACCTGTTAAATTTCATTAAAAAGATCCAAACATAAGATCTTCCATAGAAATATATTACAAAAGAAAGCTTGCCTGATCATTCGACGAACAGCAACAGTTGCTAAGATAGGATTGGTCAGTAAAGTTTTGCACGAATGATTGGCATTAATGCCCTGCAGTCCCGTCCCATGGAGACCAAACTGAGAACTTTTCCAGAAGTCTCTGCAAACAAAAACAATGTTCATTATTTAACAGCTCAGTATGTGAACCAAGCTTCATATCCCATCATTCAGCTCTGGAACAAAATAGCAGGATGTTTACCTCTGAGAATGGCCTCTTGCAGGCCCGCGTCGCACACAGAAGGTGCACCATAAGGCAGGAGAGACCTGCAAATGTCCCTGGGGAGGGGTCAGTGTCTAGCTTCGGCATCTGAGAGTGTCCAGCTCCGCAATCTGCAGTCTGAAGATGGATAAGGACACTCTCTCTTTCCTCCACTCCATGTAAATAAGCCTTAATGAGGCAGGAGTTGCACTTGAAACGGCCCCTGTGTGTCAACAGCTCTCACGGAGACCTTGAGTCTGACCCGGGTCTGCCGCAGCCCGCAGGACGGCCCCCTCCTTTTCCCACCAAGCTGTTGCCTTCCCATTTTTTGCTTCTTTTCCTTCGTCTGTTTGTTTCTAATTAGAGACACGGCGCTCCTCGCACACCTTGCACACATACGCTCCAGGTGGCCGCTTTGCCTGGCGGGTTCGTCGCAGTGAGATTGCCTGATGAGAACTGCCACTGAGGTGAACTAGTCTAGTGCGCTCATCATTTTCTGTCTGTGTTAACACAATGGACTACCACTGCTTACTGCATACTATGCTCTGTACACTGCATACGACCTTTTTGGGGAAATAGGGTTGGGAAACCGTATTTATTTACAGGTAAATGACAAATGAGAGTGTTTATGATAAAGAAAAGGAATCATCTTTTAAAGCACACAAGTTTTTAAAAATGTTACTGGTTGCATGACATTTTTGTTAAATTACATTTATTTACATTTCCTTACAACAAATACATGTAAGTGTAAAACACATCTTAATCTTTATATTTAAGTGTATTTTAGTGTTCTTTTATTTTTTAATTAATGTTTTTAATATCAATATTATAAATATTTTCTGCATGTTGGTTACACCATATGACCTTTTTGACTCAAATATTGATAAGCAATAAAGCAGATTTGTTAGAATTATTTCTTTTATGAATTAATCATTCTAAGAGATTATGCCAAATTAGGTTTTCTTTAGAAGTTCAGTTTTTGCATTTAATCCTTTTAATGAATTTTTTTCAATTACAATAGCAGACTTGTTTTTATTTCTAAAATTAAAAACATGCTCATAATATAATGCTCATATAAGAGGTGTTTGTCATTGTATGTGTGAAAGGCATTTTTATTGTATTTTAGAAGAAATTAATAAAAAATAGGACAAAAAAAATTGTCACATCATTGACCCCTATACCACAGTAAACACATTCTTGTCACATGACCTCCATATATTGTATATAATGAAGAAATGGTTACCATCAGGGGGGAAAAATAACATTTTAGGGCATTTTTTTTTTATCCAAACAATTTTTTTAAAAATGTCTTAACTTTTGTCATGGCTGATCTAGTAATACCTCTACCATTAATGATGAATAAAATCAAGTCTAAAGCAGCCCTGCATAAATTAAATGCTAATTTGTCTTATATAAGGTGGTACAGAAGGGTAACAGCCTCATATTAAAGCATGTTATTAGGGGTAAAACAGGCAAATTAAGGCCAACTAAGAATGTTTCAGCAAAATCCATTAGTTTAATGATTCATAATAGAACATTGATGAAGACTATTGCAAATGCATTATATGTGTTTATTAAAACATTATTTAGCTGTTAAATGAAAAAAGCTTTTAACCTAACTCGAAATGCAAATGTAACTCCAATTGTCACATGGTAGAAATGACCCGTGCGCGTCATTTTCTCTCTCAGGAAAACAGGATTACAAGAAAAACAAGCCGGCGCTGCGAGCCACTCGGCTGAAGGCAGAGGCGAAGAAGAGTGCTCCGGGAATCAGGGTGAGATGGCTGTCTTTCATTCTCATTACCTCCCCCTCTATCCCAACTGATCCCTCTCTCCCCCATCTGCCAAACCCCACACACACACGCATTATTCATCACACCTCTCCAACCTGAGAGCAACTCAAGCAGTCTCCATATTGATGAGGCAGAGTCGTTTGACTCTCAGAGGACTAGCTCTCTTTCTCCCTTTCCATCTCCATTGCTTTCTCTCTGTTTTTCTTTTCCCCTCAGCTGTCACTCCAGAATAACAATCCAGAGTTTGAGGAAAAAGCCTTTTTATTCACTGTCTTTGTGTGATTTCCATTTATTAGTGGCCCTGGTTTGGTCTTGCATATGTAACTGTTGATCATATTGCTCCTAATCTGAACTGGATGTTTGCGATATGGACATGATACCTCAAATACTATACCTGACTTTTATTTGCGATTTCACAAAAACAGTTATAATAGCCTTAAAGGTGAAACTTCTCTAAAGACCAGAACCTTAAAGGCTATGTTCACTGTCAGTCTTTTTTTTTTTTTTTTTTTTTTTTGCCATTCATACTTGCTAAATCTGATCAGATTTCAATCGGATCTGCACAAAAATCGGATTTGGACTGACAGTCTGAATGTAGCCATGAATGTTCACTCTCATGTCATTCCAAACCTGTATTGATGTAACCTTTTTTTTTTCATTTTGGAACATAAACGATATTTTGAAAAATTAGAAGTTTTTTTTTTTTTTCAAAAGTCACCAAGACTGGTTACCAACATTTTTCAAAATATATATAATTATATATATATATATATATATATATATATTGTCATTGCCATTTAAGTGAAATTATTGAACTTAAATATACAAGTTTGATAAAAATCATCATTAAAGAAGAAAATTTCAAATGGCATTTAGAGGCTTTTGCATCTGAACTCTTCATATATATTTGAGTTTATATATATATATATACAGTATATATATGTAATCATATATATAATTTTTAGAATTTTTATTTTTTCATTTTACACAAAAATGTATTATAAATTGAATAATGCCCGTATTTCTTATGTAGATTTTATTGTTAACCGAATTCATTAAAACTACTGCTTTATAATTCTCTGTACATATTCTCTCTTCATCCCTGTTAAGTTTGGCAGGGAGATTATTTTTGTTCGCTTTTTGCCATGAGAATTTGTTGTACAATATGTTTTCTCAGAATCCAGAGCTCCATATTGAGGATTGTAGCCAAAACAGCTACTTCTCACTGACAACAATGATCTGAAACCAATTCATAATTCATAAGCTCCAATATTTTCACAGTGGACTGAACAATGTAGGAACACTGGGGCACGTCTGCACATAGCTGAATACAACTTAAAACATGGCATTTGCTTGTATTGGGTTTAGTTTGGTATGAAGAAATCAAATGTGAAGCCTGAAGATTAACTGGTCTTAGCAACTCAATTGTTATTGTAAAAAAGCCAAGCCCTCATTACAATTCTTCTAAGTCTCATTAGTCTTTCATCCAATTACTGAGGCTTAAGGCCTTGTCCACACTAATACGTTTTCATTTGACCTTCCGTCCACATGAATTTAAAAACCACGTTTTCGCATTGTAGTCTAGACTGTGAAGGTATATATTTGAAAATGATGTTTTGTCATTTGACGCATGGTTAAACCAGAATTGTTGTGTCTGCTATTTACTTAGTGTTGCTAAAGAGAAATGTTTCTTTGTAGAACCTTCATATTGCATTCCTGCATAGATGACAGAAAAACATCCGGACAATTATGTTTTAATTTAGACCATGCAATTTTGAGTCCAACCTGAAGGCTTCAAAATGAACAGATCTTTTTTCCGAGTCATTTCATTCATTACGTTCATTGAATGAACCAAATGACTCGAAAAAAGATTTGTTCATTTTGATGAACGAGTTCGAACAGGAGAGTCACGAACGCGCATCACAGAACAGAGCAAGATGACCATTTGTGCTTCTACAACTTATTTATTTTTTAAATGAGAGATCGTTTCGCTTGATAAGACCCTTATTCGTCGTCTGGTGTCGTTTAAAGCCCTTTGAAACTGCACTGAAACTCTCAATTTGACCTTGAACCGTTTGGTGCCCAGTGAAGTCCATTATATGGAGAAAATCCTAAAAAATTTAAATAAAAAACTTTTAAGTTATAGAAGATGCGCGTTTGTGACTCTCCTGTTCGAGTTCGTTCATCAAAATGAACAAATCTTTTTTTAGAGTCATTTGGTTCATTCAATGAACGTAATGAACGAAATGACTCGGAAAAAAAAGTTGTTCATTTTGAAGCCTTAATTTCTTTTCGACTGAAGAAAGAAAGACATGGACGTCTTGGATGACATGGGGGTGAGTAAATTATCAGCAAAAGTGAACTACTACTTTAATGTAGACAGCCTAAATCTGAGGAAATGATAAATTCCATGCACGTTTTAAAACAAAAACGTCAACTTTGGGTGAACTTAAAGGAATAGTTCACCCAAAAATGAAAATTAAGTCATTAATTACTCACCCCCATGCTGTACCAACCCCGTAAGAGCTTCGTTCATCTTCGCGCATGCGTCGTGGAAATCTCTTGAACTCTCGCCTCAGGCCTACAAGGAAGAAAATGAATAGTCGAATAAAGTCGTTATTGTTTGTTTTTTCGCACAAAAAGTATTCTAGTCTCTTGATAAACTTACACTTGAGCCACTGTAGTCACATGGAATATTTAAACATTTTCTTCAATGACTTTCTGGGCCGTCAAGTTTCAATCCCTTAGGGGCACATGTAGCAATGATCCACCTCTCAAATTTAATCAAAAATATCTGAAGATGAACGAAGGTCTTACGGGGTTGGTACAGCATGGGGGTGAGTAATTAATGACTTAATATTCATTTTTGGGTGAACTAACCCTTTAATTTGGGACCTACTAAATGTCTTTCCACAAGAATGTGTGAAGCCTATGAGCTCAATGTTTAAAACATTTGTTTACTGCTGAAAGCAATGTCCCCTCATTCTGTCAGAAATATAGTTTATGGCATGCAGATTTGGTCATTGGCTTGGGACGTTTCTGAGGAACGTCGACACCGATTTGTTTGTTCTGGTTCATAATGTGACTAATGGACCCCTGAGCTCCACACTTGAGTTTTGTTCTGGCTCTGTGGAATGCCTCCTTGGCTTTGGGTTTTTTTTTTTGAGTTGACTCATACTTTTACCACTCGTTTTTCCACGGGCCATTTTCTCTGGCTGTGCATGCTTGGCAGGTGGCTTTCCATCTATGACTTTCCCTCACTCAACTCGCCAAAACGCATACACATTCTTCTTTTTCATCTTCCATCGGTCTCGTTTGTGAGTGCTGTATGAGGCTCTGGAGAGCAGGTTGAGGCTGAGGTTTGGGCTGTCTTGGGGTCTATGTTGGCAGCACCCTCAATCTGCTGTTCTCCACGCGGTGGCCAGTTGGTTTCAGGGATGTTGCCTGCCAGCTTGGGGAGGCAGCGGGCGCTCGACCACCTGCCGTGGGCACCGCTTGGCTCCCTGGTGCCTGGCTGAGCGGATGGCATCACCTGGCACAGACTAGAGGTGTTGGCGGCCTCAGCTGTGTGGGGCGCCTGGCCTGAAATAATCAGTGCCAGCTCACTAGCCCTGGAGCTGAATATCGTGAACCCGCTGGCCAACTTCAACTGTTTCACTCTTCACTACATTCCATTGCATGCATAAATAAGTCAGTGATTTTTATCTAAGGTTCTGAAATTTCTAAAAGTGCCATGTTTTTTAGGCATGTTGGTAAAGTGATAACTCCTGGCACAAGACACCAGGCTTACGAATGAAGTATAATTTTAGTGAAACAATACTTAAAAATGACTTGTTCATGTTCACTGTTTGGAATAACGGCGTTTAAAATAAAGTCGTTACGTAACAACGTTATTTTTTCAGTAACGGGGTAATAATGACTTTTCCTGTCTTTACAGCACCGTTAACGTTACTGGGCGTCAAATGCGGTGCGTTACCACAGGCGTCAGTTTGGTTTGAAATGTGCTGCTTATATCAACACTGTTCATATAAAATTGGAAAAGCAATCAAAATTCAATTTCCTGAAGTCAAGAAAATAGTCAATCTAAATGGCATATTGTGTCATGGGTGATAAACTACTAGACGGCGATATTAAAATTCTATACTATTTTGACGGAATATATAAAAATAAAACACTAAAACAATAACAATAATAAAAAAATAAGGCTAAAAATAAAAACGTTTCCATAGTAGTATCGACTAGAGCCCGACCGATTAAGGATTTTGAAGGCCGATACAAATATTTTGGGGTTTTAAAATCCGATATATCGGCCGACATTTTATTTATTTATTTATTTTAAACTGGACATGATAGTCACAAATTTTGTCATGCTTATTTGAGTTGAGAGAACTGATGGGGATGTTCTTTTAATTGTTATTCAAGCAATGTATCGTCGTGACCAACTCAACGAGTGTTGCCAACAGGAACGGTGTAGAGTGCCCTCTGGTGGACAAACTATACAACTCCAACTCTCATGACATGGTTCAAGCGTGTTTCGTCCGTTTTTATTTTATTTTTGAAATATTCATTTATCGGCCATTATAACTGCCGATACCGATAGTTTGGAAAATGCCCAATATCGGACAATAATATCGGTCTGCCGATATATCGGTCTGGCTCTAGTATCGACAAACACCAGCCTCCTAAATTAGGTTTAATCTAATAATAATAATATTATGCATCCCTAAACTAAATGTAATACTTGTCGACATTTCTTTGTGTACTGCAAGGAAACATCCACGTGCCGTTTTATAAAAGAGTGTTTTATATTAAATGTATGTATGTGGCCACAGATCTGTTTGCGAACTGTATTTATGAGTCCCATTCGCACCTCTGTATTTTATTCAGTCTGTCAACACTCGTATGAGTGAAACTCTCATTTTTATGCCTCGCACACACCCTCCCTCTCTCACATACACACCACAGCACACCAGCCAGCGGTC